AACTTGTGCAATTAGTCCCCAACATGTAGGTCCTCTCGGAAATTCATCCCAACCTTTAGAATCAAAATTTCAACCCCCGTCAGTTGAATTTCCTAAATGGTCACTCAACTTTTCTTCAAGTCCCCACGGGTCACTAAACTCAAAACTACCCCCGATAGTCACTTAACTTTGAAAATTGGTACTCCATCCATCGCTGCGTAAACAACACTTGCAAAATTGGAAGGATTTAATGACATTGAGCATGAGTCTATATGTATATGACCCTTTTTAATCACAAATCGTCCAATGCATATTTGAGTTTTTTTAATGATTGTTGAATGTGTGATTTTATCTAAATGTAGAGCTTTCCGATAACTAAATTTCACAAGCTTTATGAGTCGGATTACTATAGTTTCTAACTAATTGTAGCATGATTTATGTAAAGATTTGATTTATAGTTTTCAAATGTGTGCCACGTAAGCCATATCATTAGACATGTCATCAAATCCTTCCAATTTTGCAAGCATCATTCAAGCAGTGATAGATGAGATATCAATTTTCAAAATTAAGTGACTAACTCGTAGGAACTTTAAGAAAAGTTTAGTGATCATTTATGGAATTAATCTACCCCCGTCCTTAAGTTTTACTTGCTTCCTTTCTACATAATTTTATTGATATTAGCATCGAATTTTTTTTCTTGCATGAGATGAACAAGCTAATTTTTGGACAGATGATGTTAACAAATATATATATAGCACATAACATAATCTTTCAGGTATAAACGTTTTATTCATTTCAATTACAATAACTTTATTATTTGGACAATGCTAGAATAACACAATCTTTTACCTAATGCTTTACATAGTGGACAAATGGCGAGAATTAGGTAGAAAATTATGTACAAGTAGTTTTATTCTTATTATTTATTTCAAATATCTTTCTCTCTGCTAACTATTGCTATACAATGTTAACCCACTACTATCATAGCACCATCAACCATTGTTGGGACCCTGAACTAAAAATCTTGACTTCGCCATTGCTCATATCCAACCCCCCATGTAACGAATGATATATCAGTTAAAGACATAGAAACTCGTGCTATACCATTAGTAGTGCAAAATNGTTACAGATGGTGATGCTGGAGTCACAGATGGTGATGCTGGAGGTGACTAGGATAGAATCTGTTAATTCAATTAACAGTTCGGAACCTTTTCTTTCTTGAGTTGGCTCTGGGGTTGGAATAGTAGTCCTCAAGCTTATCTCTTGACCCATTCCCTCTACCACCTGAACTCGACGGCAAGGTGAGGGAGAGTCTCCGCTACTACAGGTGAGCAACGTGGAGGTACCCACTTGGGCTTCTATAGTTGAAATGTCCGTGTGGTGGTGGGTAAGAAGTAGTTGTTGTTGCTGGTTCTGGTGGTGGTGGTGGTGGTGAAAAACGAAAGCTTCGCCTCCTTCAGTTTTCCTACGGTGACAATTGCAAGCAGCGCATTTGAGTGCATCTAAGCTTCCCTCCTCTTCTGTTGTAATAAACTGGCCGTCGATCCCCACCATGTGATTTTTAAAACAGTCTTTGTACCTAGGCTTCTTCAATTGCGTTACCGCAATTTCAACAAGGC